GAAGCGCTCTGCTGACGTCACCGCGCGCCCCGGGACCGTGAGTTGCCTGCGCCCCCAGAGCGCAGCTCCAGAAGAGGGGCGCCCCCAGGTGCAGCCCCGGAAGAGGGGCGCAGTGGAGACCTAGCTTCTCAGTCACTTCAGAGAGAGGCCGTCGGCCGGAGCCGCACGGACGTGGCTATGTTTTTGCTGGTTTGGTCTCGGGGTGAAAACATTGCCGCCCCCCAGCCCCCCAGATGGATGCCCCGTTGAGTAGGAACCTCAGACACACGGGTAGCTTCTCAGTCCGCGTGCGCCCCGCACAGGATGCGCACCCGCGCTCCTGGGAAAGGCCACCCCAACCTGCGGCGGCAAGCGCTGCCCGGCCGGGTGTCGGCCTTTATTCTCTTGCAGCGCCTTTTATTTTTAATTTTTTTGGATTTCGGTGTCGGGGTCATGTTGGCTTCATGCCATCAGTTGGGATGTGATTCTTCCTTGCTATGTTTTCGAAAAGCTTGTGAATCAGTAGTGTTTCTTCTGTGAACATGACATAGAGTTTCAGGGGAGTCTTTGTTGGGTGATTTGGGAAACGAAGCCTGTTGTGTCCATCTGTCCAGCCGCCGCGGGCTGCTCGGCGTGTCGTTCTCCGTGGTCCCTGCCAGGTCCTGTGGGGGGTGGGCCCTGTCCCCGGTCTGCAGGAATGAGGTCTGCACTCGGACCTCGTGCCCCGGCTCAGGTCTGGGTACAGCGCCAGGGGCTCCCCTGTGTGTGGCTCCCAGAGGTGCTGTCTCCTCGCACTAGTGCACGTTTAACTTTAAAAACCAGGGCCTGATTTGGCCGCGTTTCCCTGCCAGCCTCCGTGGCATCTGGGGAGCCCTCCCGGGAGGCAGTGTTTGAGTCCTGACTTGCATCCAGGGCTCCTGACTTCCCTCCCACTTTGACTTAGTTTGTTGCCCCGTGAACTGGGTTCTCCCACGAGTGCAGGAGAAGTTGTGATTCCGTAGGTCATCCATTTGTTCTTGTTGTTGTCACTGGGGGAATGGCCAGCTGTTGGGCTTTCTATCTCTTAAATGGGAGCTTGAAGTCTAATCATATCATTGCTTTTTAAAATTATTTTTTTTAATTTTTTGATTTTTTACAGAGAGGAAGGGAGAGGGATAGAGAGTTAGAAACATCAATGAGAGAGAAACATGGATCAGCTGCCTCCTGCACACCCCCTACTGGGGTTGTGCCCGAAACCAAGGTACATGCCCTTGACCGGAATCGAACCCGGGACCCTTCAGTCCGCAGGCCGATGCTCTATCCACTGAGCCAAACCAGACAGGGCGAATTCTATTTATTTTTTTAAAAATAATTTTAAAAAATATATTGTTAAAGCTGTGGTACTTTTCACATGTTTTTATCCATTTCAGAGAGGAAGAGACCGGGAGAAAAAGACAGAAACATCAATGATGAGAGAGAATTATTGATTGGTTGCCTCTAGTGCGCCCCCTTCTGGGGATGGAACCCCAAACCCCGCCATGTACCGTGACCAGGAATTGAACCTCAACCTCCTGGTTCATTGGTTGATGCTCAACCACTAAGACACATTGGCGGGGCTCTATTTATTTTTTCTGTTATTGATTTATTTTAAATTTTTTTTTTTACAAATTTACAGTATTTATTGAAAAAATGTGCATAAAGTGGACCCAGGCAGTTCAAACCCATGTTGTTCCAGGGCCAGCTGTATAATTAGCTAGTTTATCTTTCTTCAGTTTTTTAGATGGGCGTAAAACTGAGTACTCCAACCTTTGCCGTGGATCATCAGACTCTACAACCAGGTTGGCAGCATGAGCCCGTGTGATAACCAACTCTGATCCACTGTAGGTACCTGGAGTGCAGTGTTGAAAGGATCCTGAGGCCGAGCCCAGGCTGAGTGGTAGAGTAATGTCTGCTGTACGAGGGACAAGAAGAAAAGAAAGGGCAATGCCAAGTCTGCATTAGAGCCTCGGTACCCACGCTAAGAGGTAGTGAGCCACCCGCCCCCCCTCGTCCTGAGCATTCTGTCTGTTCAGTTTGCCTATTTCATTGTATCTATTATTATTTGTCTGTGTGCCTACCTTTCACAATTGGGAGTCTTTCCTTCATTGTATTCTGAGAGTCTGACACATAGTAGGTGCTCATTAAATATTTGTTGAGTGACTTGCTCTCCCTAACTGGTCTCCACATGTGGAATCCACAGTTCCTCTTCTCTAGAGTCAGTCATTTGCCTTGCTAAGATCCAGCGTGTAGAATTTCCTTGATTCTCCTGGTCTATCCCTTCTAGGAATTAAAAAAAAAAACAAGCAAAGGTTTAGGTAAATATTTATAGCCTACACTGTTTTTAGAGAAATGATGATCTAGTATAAGTACTTTCCTCCAGTTTGATTTTCTTACCTAATATTATATCTTGGAGATCATTGCACAGTCGCATGCAGCAATATTCTTTATTTCTCTCAAAGTTGCACATCATGTGTTGTCCCACAGTTTATTCAGGTATCCTTCTATTTCAGGTTGTTTCCATTCTTTTGCTTTTATAAGTAGTGCTGCACACACCATTACTTATTATTCTTGTACTTGACTTCTTACCTTTAATCCCTCTTTCTAGGTTTAATACAACATTTATTTCTTTTGCCTTTAATATGGTTGTGGCTTGTGGTACTCTGCACCCAGAATTCCACTCACTTCTTCTTGGTGAGTTTGACGTGGAGGCCAGGGGCTCCTATTCAGTTCACAGCCCCCTTAGTGTCTACACAATTTCTTCACGGTCCTCAAAAGCCACCACAAGCAAGCAAACAAACAAACGAACCCCCAGAGCAACCAATAAAAACACCAGACAGTTCTTTTCAGTAAGTGGTCAGGCCCTAACAACTTAAGAAGTATTTGTGTTTTAACAATTCAGTAGCCATTTGAACAGATAAATTGAAGTAGAAAGTAACATTTTCATTGTATTCTTAAATGACCACCATTACTTATTGGATGCGTATACCCATTGGGCACCGCATAACTTCTCAAACCCTGGCACCACCACCCTCATTTCCTGTTCTTCATTAATTTCCATGAGGTACTGTTTTTCACCCCAAACCCAGCTTTGCAAATATATGACATCATCAAAATAAATATAGTGCTATCAAATGTTGAAACTGCTAATAACTTGAACAGCCAGTTTAAGCCATGTTCAACGCATGTCATGGAGCACTGTTCCCTTTGAAAATGCAAAGAACCTCACGGTGCCCCCATGAGTCCCCTCTGACACCCCAGGCACTTGAGTGTGCCTGTGGGAATCCAAGCCCTGCCATCACCCTAGACCAGTGGTCGGCAAACTGCGGCTCACGAGCCACATGCAGCTCTTTGGCCCCTTGAGTGTGGCTCTTCCACAAAATACCAACTTCTGTGCATGGGCCACGAAGTTTCAATCGCACTGTACGTGCACGCCCGCACGTGGTATTTTGTGGAAGAGCCACACTCAAGGGGCCAAAGAGTCGCATGTGGCTCGCGAGCTGCAGTTTGCCGACCACTGCCCTAGACAATCACATAAACTGTGACCTAGAATACCTTCCCTCCCAGGTTAGCTTTCTTCACATTGAACAATCACAGCATACTTTCACTGATACAGTCCCACTTTATTTCCCATTTCCTGTTACCATGTTTCTACCATTTTGTTTTCCCAATGACCCACTCACCTACCATCTTCTTACTTCCTTGTCTCTATAATCACTGCCTCCTCCATTGGAAAACAGTAGTTTCCTCATCTCTATTAACACTTCTCTGCACTCCTAAACTCCACATTTAAAAACCTCTAGGAAATCTTATGAGTACATTGTTTCTCACCACCAGCAGATGTCACTGAATGCAGAGTTGGGAAGCAGAGTGTAGCCACACGGGAGATGTAAAAACCTAAAAAGCATGGATAATAGTACAATATGATTTGAAAGCGTAGCATTTTTAGCATTTATTAACTTTGTTTTAAAAATAATTTTTTAAATTATGAATTTGTATACCATCCTTTTGAATAATGGTCATGGTTAACAACCTGCTTATAAAATTCCTGGAAATGTCACTATCAGCCAGGGAGCTGGCTCCAGCCACCGTGCTTCCTATGGCTAAATTTTCAGTTAGAGAATCAAAGGGTCAAAGGGCATGAGGCATTTTGGGCTCATGTTTATTTTGTCAGGTTGTAGCTATGTCATAAATTTTCCTTTGTCATTGTTATTGCTTTTGCCTTGATTTTTATTTCGATCTTTGATTGCCCATTGGAGCTTGAAGTCAGCCACGGTGGGAGTATGTACACCCCTGAGACTGGCAACTGAGACAAATCGGGCTTCTTTCACTCCACGTCGTTGATAAACATCATTAGCACACTACTGTTCTGTTTAGGATATAATTTTAAAGTGAAGTAAAAAGCTATGTGGAAGGAGGGGGGCAGGAGACACAGAGAGACGGCCGTAGTGATTGGTTGCCTCCTGGGTCAATCCTGCAACAGAGGTCTGTGCCCTTGACTGGAATCGAACCTGGGACCCTTTAGTCCATGGGCGGACGCTCTATCCATTGAGCCAAACTGGCTAGGGCTGTTTCTGTTTTGTTTGTTCATTTATTTTGTTTTTTAGATTACACATATAAGTGAAACCATATAGCATTTGTATGTCTATGACATTTCATTTAGCATAATACCTTCTTGGGCCACCCACGTTGTTGCAAATGGTAAGATTCCATCCTTTTTTATGGCCTAGTAATATTCCACTGTATATACACCACATCTTCTTTATCCACTGGTCTACTGATGGGTACTTGGGTTGCTTCCCTAGTCCAGCTATTGTAAATAACACTACAGTGAATATAGGGGTGCATATATCTTTTCGAATCAGTGTTTTGGATTTATTTGGATATATACCCAGAGTGGGATTGCTGGATCAGAAGGTAGTTCTATTTTTAATTTTTTGAGGAAACTTCATACTGTTTTCCGTCGTGGCTTCACAAATTTGCAATCTCACCAAAGGTGCACAAGGGTTATCTTTTTTCACATCCTCGCCAAAACTTGCTGTTTGTTGATTTGTGGATGATAGCCATTCTGACAGGTCTGTAACTCAGTTCTTGTAACAACGCTATGAGGGCACTTAGTATTGCCCCACTTCACAGATGAGGACACAGTGGGGTTGGTTACTTTACCCAACAGTGTGTAGTCGGTACATGGCAATGGTGCAATATGGACAGAGGCAGCCTGGATCCGGCCTAGACTCCTGATCTGTAGTCAGGGTTTATTGCCTGTTGTCTTTGGGCGTCAACTAAAAACAAGTAATAAAACTACACGAGGAAGGCCTGGCTGGGAGGAACTCGGAAGCAGTTAAATTATTTCTGCATCTTTCTCTCTTTATTCCTTTTTACTTCTGACTCCACCAGATGAAGAAGGAAACAGTTTTCACATGGTTTCGGGGAAGGTTGCTAAGTGTTCAGATGGGATAATTGGTACTAGACAAGTATCCTTAAAAGTGAATATATTTAAAATGACAATAGACATTTTATAGTAAACCAGAGGCCCGGTGCACAAATTCGTGCACTGGTGGGGTCCAGCCGGCCTGCCCAATGGGCACCATCGGGGGTGGGCCAGCTGGGGCGAGGGGCCGCGGGCGTTCTGGTTGTTCCACCATTTAGTCAATTTGCATATTACTTTTTTTATTGTATAAGATATTTAAATACACAGCTTTAATTTGTTATTTTTAAAAATGAAACTGTTAGGAAAATAAACTTACAGTATTTAATATTTAACAAAATTTAGGTTATATGACTACCACTACATAATTTTTAGAATGAACAAGGAATAAATTATGTTGGTTTTTGAGGCACAAGGGAAAAAACACAATATGTGAGAGTCTGATTTGACATCTTTCATTTCACATTCCATTTACTTGAAATGATCAAAGAGGACCAATTTTGAAAATATATTTGAGAATGTCAGACTTCATCAATTTTCCCCAAATTGACTCTAAATATTTTGATATTTAAAGTATTTTCTCTTGAATCACCTATTGTGCCCTGACCAGGAATTGAATAGTGACCTCCAGGTTCATAGGTCCATGCTCAACCACTAAGCCACACCAACTGGGCTAAAGTGCAATTACTTCAAATTCACCAAGGATATTTATAAAATCTGCTTATAGTAAATGAACTAAAATTTACTATTTAGCAACAGATGAGTCTTTAAAAGCCTTATCCTATATAATAAAAGGCTAATATGCAAATTGTCCCCTTGACTGGGAGTTCGACCAGAGGGTGGGGCCGGCCTACCAACTGCCCGAGGCCCCTCCCCCCAGCTGGCCCTGCCCCTGATCGCCCCAATCTGGGTGGGCCACCTGGACCCCACCCGTACACAAATTTGTGCACCGGGCCTCTACTAACCATATAATGATATCAGTAGATGTTGAAATCTGGCCCTTTAAGAAGAGAATATACAGTGTGGGACAAAAGTAGGTTTATAGTTGTGAGTATGCAAAACACAGAGTTTATATTTGTATTATTATTAATTATTGTAGTATTTTTCACATAAACAACTGTAAGCGTACTTTTGCCCCACCCTGTAATAGTACATTTCAGATAGTACGTTACAGTTTTAAGCTTTAATTAAATTATAACCAAAGTAAATAAGAATGTTTTGAGAGAAAAAAAGTTTGGTAATGGCTTTTATATAAATTCCATAAATTCAAAATTAATGTTTTTAATTAACAGGTATTTGCATTTTAGGGAATTTTTAACAGCTTTTTCACTTTGATCAAATGTTCCATTTAGAGTTTGAAAGTTAAGACAACATCCTCCTACAGATGTACTATTTAAGTCACGAACATGAGAAAGATGTGCTGAAAGGAACTTTGTTTTTCATGTGGAACTGGATGGAAGCCCCTCAGACATGAAGGTGATAACCTAAGCCCTCTAATGACTGTTTCCTGGCCCAATGCCAGGCACCCAGGAGGCACCCAAATATTTGTTGAATTCAGCTGGAATTCGTTCCGCAGCCTTTGGAAACCAGGGCACAGTTTTGTTCATTGAACTGTCCTGTGATGGAAGGTCAGTAAGCGAATCGCCCTGGGTCCTGCTGTCACCTCTGAACTAGTCCGCTGTGCGAACCGGGGAAATGTTTAATGAATCCTCGGCCGGTTTGAGCTGCGACCAGCAGTCCTCGGCATGGGCTCCCTGGGACGTGGGGCCCACCTTTTTGAATGTGCATGAATGCTTCTGTCTATCAGTGTTGGGTGAGCTCAGGAACTTGAACGCTAAAGGCCCGGCATGGGAGCCAGCCAGCAGGCAGCCTTACAGAGGCCCTGTGACACTGGAGCAACGCTGTTCAGCAGAACTAGGAGCAGCAAATGGGAGCCGTGTATTTAATATAAAATCTTAGTAGCCACATTAAAAAAGTAAACAGAAACAGGTAAAATTAATATTTTTTCCTGCAGAAAGCTTTATGGCTGCATGTGGCCCAGTGCCTGGGAGAGGCTCCAGGTGCTTAAGGGACGCCTAGTGGTTTCGGGGAGACCCCAGGGGGGCGCAGAGGGGCCCCCAAAGGCCTCCGGGCCCCCAGGCTCCTGGCGGTGCCGGAGGGGGAGCCTTTGGGAGAGACACTCGCCCGCCCCGCGGGGGATAGAGGGGGGCCGCCACCTGCGGAGGGGCCAGGTGTGGCCCATCTTCCCAGGAGCCGCCCTCCTCACCCGGAAGTGGTTCCCAGGGGTCACGGCGGAGGTCGGGGCAGCAGCAGGGCCTGCGGCTCCCCACGGGCCAGGGCCACCTCCTCGAGGCCCAGGCCAGGCCTCCTGGGGTCCGAGGTCACCCCCTCCCCTGGGGGGCCCAGCTCGTCCCGGAGAGAAGCGGCCCCCGCGCTGGGTTTGCGCCTCAGGAGGCTCCGCGCCCTCGGCTTCTCCCCGCCCCCCGCCCGCCAGGGCCGCGTCGTCAGGTGGACACAGACGCCCAGGACAGGTAGGCGGGGCGGCCGCGGGGCAGGTGGCCAGGCGGTGACCACAGCCTCCACCTGGGGGGGGGGGGGGATTCTGAGGCATTGGGAGCTCGTGGTTGTTCGGAAACAAGGAGTTAAGGTGGGAACCCGTGTGTTGGCCGGTCCCGGAGGAGGCTCTGAAGATGGGACTGGAGGAGACGCTGGGGGGGTCGAGGCTGGAAGGAGGGGCGCCCCTGGGTCTGTTCCTTCCAACACTGTTGAAGAGGAAGCAGGGCCGGGACTGCCGAGGGCACTGCTGAAATCAATTTAAGGATGTATTTTCCTTAGCTCAGTATATCCAGTCATTATCATTTCATCATGTCAGCAATATAAACGTAATTCAGGATATATGTCACATTCTAGTTAGACTTTCTCCAAAGCCCACTGTGTATTTTGTAGCACATCTCGATTCAGACTCGGCACATTGCAAGGGCTCAGTTGGCACAGGTATGTAGTGGCTGTCTGTATCGGTTAGTGCCATTCTAGGCCTCCTGCCTTAATAAAATAACTCTAAAGCGTGTCTGCCACTATTGTGTGAAGTCTAACATGATGGCCAAGTAAACTTTAAGACGATTCTCAACTTGCCCAGCCAGTGTGGCTCAGTGGTTGAGCATCGATCTATGAACCAGGAGGTCATGGCTCAGTTCCCGCTCAGGGCACATGCCTGGGTTGTGGGCTCGATCCCCAGTAGAGGGCGTGCAGGAGGCACCAGATCGATGTTTCTATCTCTCTATCCCTATCCCTTCCCCCCCCCAAAAAAATCAATAAAAGATATTTTTTAAAAAGATGGTTCTCAAGCACATCAGTGGGACATCAAGAAAGTTTGTCTTTCTTGATGTGTGAAATGGGTGAATTGGAAAAGATGTTCTATGAGAGCTCTTCCATTTCTAATGCTATTGCTGTGGTTGTGTCAAAGGGCCTTGCACGGAGGGGCCATTAGCATTGTTGTATGTGGCGTGTAGGTAAAATATGTGTGCCTTGTCTCATTCCATAAAAGCTGAGGCAGAAACTGTTTGTGGAAAGAAGGAAAAAAGAGAGAGAGATGAATGGAGGGAGGGAGGGTGGGAGGGAGGGAAGATGGGGGGAAGAAAGAGAAAGGAAGGAGGAAGGAAGAGAAGAGTCACAGCTCAGAAATGTCGGTCTCCATTAGGCCTGTTGGCAGTTATTCCTGGTATCAGTGAACTTTCAAACAGAAGGCTCTGCTGGTGGGTGCAGTGCTGTCTAAGCTACAAAGTACATTTGAAAGGCAGATCATGTCCCGAGAACCCCTTAGACTGTGGACTTATTTACCGGTGGCCTAGGCCTGACGACCTTGGGCTTTGTGTCCGAGCCCTGCACACTGTAAAGTTCACTTCCCCCCGAGAGTGACCAAGCACAGCGCTGGCCATGTGCTCCCTGGATCTTCACGGGCAACGATATGTAAAAGGTGTGGTGTTAGTGCAAATATATTTCAACGTGTGAAGTTTATTTTAAGTGAAATCTGTCAGTGGCGTGAGCGGTGCTCGCGGTTGAAGCCCTCTTTCTTAGAACAAAGAGTAGGCGAGTCCCCTTGTAGACAACTTTCAAGTTTTTAGGTTGAGTTGGGAGTTAAGCCTTCAGAGCGTAGAGAAGAGAAGGGCCTACCTGCTACGATCAATGGTAGGGCTTTTCAGGGCAGTGTTCATGGCAGTTGAACTAAAATGCAGGCCCTGATCATAGCCGGTTGCAGCTGTTGGCCTGTGAGTCACTGCAGCGCAGTGGACCTATTGCCCCAGCACCTGCTGCGAGGCCCTGACACAGAGATGATCTCATCCACCTTTGATGCCTGCCATTGCCGTCCATATGCCGACAGCCCTCCACCTGTAGCTTTGGTCCAGGTCTCTGCTGAGTCCTAGGCCCATGTTCATTAAGACCTCACTTAGTTGACTCACTGGCGTTTCACGCTCACTGTGTCCCTGACTGAACTCCTGTTTCGCACTGACGCTGCTCCTCCTCCGGGTTCTTTATCTCAGTAAATGGTACCGCCATCCACCCAGTCACTCAGGTTTGAAACCTTGACTCATAAGTTCCCGGACCTCCCACCACCCCTCCTCCCACAGCCCGTCAATCACCACACCTTCTGAGTCTCCTTAGATGGACATCTGGACTCTCTGCACCTTCCTCCATCTCTGCTCACACCACTTTAGTCCATTCTGTTTCCCCTGACAGCCGTGAGAGCCTGTTTCCCCCAAACCCACTTAGGGCTCTCTGCATGCCAAGCCCTATGGGGACTTCAACATACGGGATCAGACCCCTTCAGCACCCGCTTAACATATCGGCGCTCTTAGTGTAAATTCTAAGCTCTTGTCCAGCCAGCGTGGCTCAGTGGTTGAGAGTCGACCCATGAACCAGGAGATCACGGTTCCATTCCCAGTCAGGGCACATGCCCAGGTTACGGGATCCATCCCCAGTCGGGGACCTGCAGGAGGCAGCCGATCAGTGATTCTCTCTCATCACTGAAGTTTTTTTCTCTCTCTCTTTCCCTCTCCTTTACTCTCTGAAATCAATCGAATATATTTTTAAAAAATTCAAAGCTCTCTTACCTGGCCCTGCACTTGTGCCCCGTCCCCTTCTCCAACCAGTTCCAGCCTCTTTGGCCTTCCTTCTGTTCCTGGGACACCCGGCTCCTTCCGCCCCAGTCCCCTCCAGCATGCCGTGTAGCCTGCCCCACACAGACGCTTAATTCCAATTAGCTGAGCAAGTGTCCGCTTCACTCTCCCTTCATCCTACAGCCTTTTTTGCACAGAAGAGGTTCAATCCCCCTCTGCATTCTTGTCGCTCTCTGTAGGCCATCCTGCTCCTCATCACATTTGTAATCTTTACACAATGTTTATCTTTCCACATGGGCTTGGACTGCGTTTCTCAAGTATTGCAGTATCACCAGCAGCTCGCACAGGCGCAGGTAGATAGCAGGCCTAACAACAAATATTCCTTGAAATACTGAAGGAATGGATAGGTTTACCTCAGTCTTTGATTTAACTAGCAGGTGGGCTGTTGCTATTTGTATCGGGGCCTATCGATTTTAAAAGACTTTATTATATTCCTGGATAATAGGAATAACTCATAGGAGCATTTTAAAGTTATTCACTCTCTTTCCTACTTGAACATCACATACCTAACAAAGATGTTATTGAAAAAAAGTGGAATAAAAGAGAGGATGTATGTATTACATATGCTAAATATGTTAGAGTTGACAGAAGAATCAGAAAATGGTAGTTACTCAACCAGAGTTATTTCAGAGCTGAGAGGCACCTTGAAAACCACCCAGTTCACTTGGTTTTAACCTCAATTATATAATACAGTCACTTGGATCAATTAAATCAGAATCCCTGGGCGATGTATATTCCAGAAACTTCTGAAGTGATTCTAATGTGTATTCATGGGAGAGAACTACTACTGACCTGGCCCAATCCAGCCTTTTTCTATAAAAGTGAAATTGAAGCTCAGAATTCTTAAATGACTTGTTCAAGGTCACATGGCAAATTTCTGTGTTAGTGGTCTATTTAGTAGACCATGCTTTCTTATATTAATAGCTAGGAAAATAGAAATTGATAAGGAAGGATGCTATTAAGCCCCTGAAAATCAGTTTTCTTTGTCCAGGATTCCTAAGTTCTGATTGGCAATTGAGCCTGAATATCCCATTAGATCAGCTGGTAAAATATTACCCAGAACCTTAGATGAGTGTTTCCTTGACTGTTCTGATCACAAGAATCACCCAGAATGCTAGCTAAGCATTCCAGTTCCTCGGCCCCTATCTTGAATCCTCCGATGCAGTCGATCTGGAGTGGGCCCAGGAATCGGAATGTGTTAGAAGCTCTCCAGTGATCTTATCCTCAGTGGTGTTTGGGAATCATTGGCTTAGATGATGTCATAGTTTCCATTCCCAGAGACGCCAGTTAAAGAGGCCATAAAGGGCTAACTTCAGCCGGGCGACTGGGGTTTACTCCCAAGGAAGGAGGTCAGTATCAAAGACCATGATGCAGAAGTAAGTCAAGGTGTGCTGATAAGGAGAGGAGAGCAAGGGTCTTGAGAGCCAAGGGCCCACAGAGGGCTCAGGCTGAGTGAGTTGGCAGAAAGCAGGTGTGCAGGCGATGGTGTCTCCAAGTGGCAGCTGTGGGAGGTCACCTCATGGAGGGTGGAGCCCAGAGGTAGAGATAAGATCAGGGCGCGCATTCTGGTGTGCGCTGCCTCCATTCCTGCAGCTGAGGAGGCTTCCCTGGCCTCGCTTTGTAAGGACTCATTGAGGCCTGCTCTGAGCACAGCCCACAAATGTGAGATGTGGTACCAGCGTGCGACAGACAGAAGGATACTCCATTTGGGCAAACAGGAAACTGCAGCAGATACGAGAGGTTTAAATTAGGTGCTAGGTGGTATAGGATAGACTGTCAGGGCTGTGAACACCTTTAACCAGAACGGTCGTG